TTGTGCATCAGGTGTTCGAGCAGGGATTGAGTGAGACCATGTGGGATTTCCTATTTGTCGTAGTGGCGCTCTTAGTGATCCCAACTGTGTTCTTCTTAGGCCTTTGCTTGTGGCATGCTGTGTTCGATCGAGCCAGATCCAAAGAGCTGATCGTAGTGAAGGGGGGTTCGCAAGTCAAGACCCATTTTGAGCCGATGCAATGCAGCCGTTTGCAAGCAGAAACGCATGCTGCTGTTCGCCATGATCATGTTAGCTCAAGGTACCCAAGCAACAACAGAGGTCTTGACAGATGATGCTGTGGTGCATGCTGTGAGTGCCAGTGCAAGCTTCGTAGCCCGATCACGTGTGTTCGTGTACGTGATGCTGCTGGCTTCGATCGGAGCCATCCTGTGCATGATGCAGCCCTTCGCAGCGTCAATGAGGTTGCCACCAAGGTATGATCCAAGTGATCCAAGTCAGACGTTCAGGACGTGGAGTCAAGACTTGATGCTGTGGTCGATCTCAAGTGAACTCCAACCACATCAACAGGCTGCCATGATCATCAGCCAGTTGTCAGGACCTGCAAGGGAACTCGCCAGGTCCATCACGCCACAGGAGGTGTTCCAAGGTGGGGTGCATAATGGTAATCACCTAGATCCAGTCAGCTACTTGGCGCAAGGTCTCGCATCAAGGTTCGCACCGTTGGATGATGAGACCAGACTTCGCGCTGCTCAAGATCTTCTCGCGTTCCAGAGGAGACAAGGTGAAACTGTCGACGCACTCATCACCAGATTCGAGTTGACTCGCAGCCGAGCTCGCAATGATGGCGGTGGAGCTCAAGTGTCGGTTGAGACAGGTTCTCTCCTGTTGTTGAGAGCCTGTGGAGTCACTGCAGAGCAGTTCCAGGCACTAACGCAGCCGTTCGGGTTTCGGCTGCCCAGCAATGACGAGCAGTTCAATGCACTGTGTGCCCACATTCGTAGATTAGGCCACATCATTGAGCGCCAGCCGTTAAACATTGCATCAACACTTCGTCACAATCCCATGAACCAACATGGCCAGCAAAATCCGCACTTTCGTAGGAATGCATACTTCGTAGGCGGTGAAAAAGCATCTTATGCAGGTGACTGGTCACAGGTTGACGGTGGTGACGGAGGAGGTTGGGCCCCATGGGAAACAACTGGTGTTCAGGATTGGGCCTTTCATGTTGATCCGCAGTACAGTGCAGGTGCCGATGTGTCCGAGTCCTCAGCAACGTCAAGCGATGGCAATGACCCAGTTGATTTAAGTGACCTTCAAAACTTGACTGATGCCGAGGTTGATCAATACCTGTTGGAAGCATATGCAGGAGCAAAGAAGCGTTGGCGTCGATTCACAGGTAAGCCAGTTCGCCACCTTCGCCGTGTCTTGAAGAGAAAGGGCAAAGGTAAGGGTAAGAAAGGTGCTTATCTCAACATTCCCCAAATCCTTCAAGAGTCTGCATTCTTCAAAGGTAAGGGCAAAGGTGCATACACATCAGGCAAAGGGTTTGGCCGTCGCGGGAATCCGCGTGACCGTAATGGTGTTCAAATGAGATGTTTAGTTTGTGGTTCAACATGGCATTTCCAAGCTAAGTGTCCTCAAAGAAACCCCAATGCAAGTGCATCAGGTGGTGCGCCAGCACCATCCGGTTCGGGCCAAATCAACTCAGGTGCACAACGCCACATGTATGCAGAGCAGCTTCATTTTGCTACATATGAAGTGCCGCCAGACGCACCGACACGTGAAGATGATGATGCTTCATGGTTTCGTGTTTCGTATGGTGCTCGATCTGTAGAGCCGTCGGAACAGCAGACCCCAAGTCGTGCCGCGTCTCGTGTTGCAGACGAAGCTGAGGTGCAAGACACTCCAAGGCATCGTGGCGGAGAACCAGAACATGTGCGTTTGACCCCAAATTTCCCAAGCGGTGAAGAAGAAGATCCGTTGTGGGTAAATGATCCTTGGATGTCCTGGCACCACAATTTAAGCCAGAGCTCGCAGGCGCCATTCGAGCAAACACCAGGGATGCATACGCCGTTCGGTTCATCTCAGACATCACCAATGTTCGCAATGCCTGATATGAGATTCAATGTAAGTTCGTCGCATCAGATGCCACAGGTTGCAGCTTCGTCCAATGCCATGCCATCAAGCTTTGTAATGAATGCTGCGCAAAACAATTCATGGAACATGCCATATGCAGTTCCCGGCACAATGCCGAGCATGCCGTTCGTAAGCCAAGTAAACATGAGCATGCCTAGTTCTGCCGCATCAATACCAGAAGTAAGTGCCATTGCAAATGCCACGCAAATGCCAGTAAGTTCTGCCACACGTGAGTCATCCTCACCATCATTCGTGCCCGCATGGTTCATGAACTCAGGTACACAGTCCAGTGCTTATGCATCACAAATTTCAAGTGTGCCTAATCCAGCACAGCAACAGAGCACGACAGACACAGCAGTCAATCAGCTGACCTCCGTGTTCTCAGAGATCCATGCACATTCACGCAGTGTCAGCAGAGGTTCACGCTCAGCGCCTTCGCAGCAAGAGGAAGGCCGTGCAAGAGTGTTCAGCAATACTTGCACCATCTGTTTGACAGCTTTCGAACAAGGAGATGACGTCCTCCGAGCATCATGTGACCATGTGTTTCATGCCCTGTGTTTTTCAGAGTTAATGCAGCACAGCGCAGAAGACGGTGTTCAGTGTCCCAATTGCAGAGCACCATGCACTGCTGTAAGCACATGGCTCTACATGATTCCGCTAGCGTCAACAGCCAATGTAGGTACTGCAACAGCCTCAGCCGAAGATCCTGAGCAAGCCAATGCTGTAAACACTCCAGTGCCAACTGAAGATGGTTGGGACAGTGAAGAGGAGCCATTCCATTCTCCACAGCCTTCGCCGCACGAGGACGAAGAAGAAGATGATGGCAGATCCAGACAGAGCTTTGCATGGTGGCCTGTGCCGCGACATCGTTCAGGCCCGCATGCAGGTGAGCCAGTTGCAGAAGCCACATATCACAGCCAAGTTCGTTTGCGCCAAGGCATGGGTCTGCTCATTGACCCTGGTTCGTATGGTAACTTGGTAGGATCTGAGTGGCTAGCAGATGCGCGCGAGATTGTTCACAACCACAGTAAAGAGATCTTGACTCAAAGCAGACGCAATCCAATGCATGTCGGTGGCATAGGTAAGGGACATCAAACATGTATTCGCGACTGCCTAGTACCTTTAGCATTGCGCAGATCCGATGGCACTATGCAGGAAGCAGATTACGCCGCCCCCGGTCGTTGAAGAATCAAGTGCGCCCGCGCTTCTCGGCCTGAGAAGCCTCAAGCGACACAATGCAATTTTGGACATGAGTCGCAACATGTTGCATCTCCTGCCAGATGACACCCAAGCTGAATTAGTGTTGCCAACAGGTGCAGAATCATTCCCATTGGAGCAGTCTGAAAGTGGACATCTCCTCCTGCCATTCACAGACTTCGTAGGTCTACGCCAGTCCAGATTCGAGCGACCAAATCCACGTCTGGTGCATCTCTTTGCAGATGATGCGAATGCAGAGAGTATGGCAGCAGTACAGATAGAAACCAGAAGCAAAGCAGTTGCGCCTTCAGCAAAGGAAGGCAGTTCGAGTCCAGCAAAAGCAAAAGCAAGTGAGCCCAATGCGCCCGCTGCAGCATCCGCAGCATCAAGCGCATCCACAGTACCTCGAGTGGTTATTCCTCAGATCACACCTAAAGGTGAGCCAAGGCCTGCAAAGCCTGCAGCATCTGCAGGCCCGAAAGCGACACCTCGAGGCAGTGTAGGAACAGCCATCGCAGCAGGTCCAAAACCTCCTGCACATCCCCGTGAAACTGGGGACCAGGATGAGGAGTGAAGAGGCGAGAGCGATGAAGCCTCCGATTCGCTCGGGTACCATGCAAAGGAGGCAAACATAAGTTGCTGCTTAGTTGTGTCCAACCATAGCAGCAGTTCCCGTGCATGTGAGCATTTTGGTCTTTCAGTCACAAGATACCGTCCAATTGAATTGACCAGAGCGCTTGAACTCGATAGGATACTTGAAGACTTAAAGGTTCTCAGGTATAGAGTTGTATGGGTAGATCTTCAGCAACCAACAGCTTTTGGAGGCAAGCAAAGATACGGTAACATACTTCAAAGACTTCGTACAGTGCTGATGACTGCCATCCGCAACGACGTGCCGGTCATCATGGCGTCAAACCGACTGGACGCCTGGCATCAACCTCAGCTTGAAGACCTCACAAGGCAATGTTCCCTCACGCTGTCGAAATATCGCTGGTGTTCCCTGGACATCACAGTGAACAGCAGAGGGCACCCAAGTTCAGTAATGCATCGAGTAGCTAGCCAGCCAGCTTTTCGAGATACTCCATGCCGATGTGAGCCAACGGCAGAGCGTGTCAATGACTTAGCAGAAAGGTCATGCACAGCCCAAAGCCGTAGTGACGCAGAAGAACTTTTCGTCCAAAAAAATGTTGACAAGAGCCACCTTGCTGCCAGCTGGTAGACCTGCGGCTGCAGCGAGGTCAAAGAGTCAAACCGACGGAAGTGTACATATGAAACAACACGTAGAACAACAGAATCGCGCTGAAGATGCCTATCAGGTGACCGTGCCTGAATTCGTAGATCCTGTGCGTGTTGAGACTGCCCATGAAACACGCACCGCACTCTTAGACCATGATGTTCACAGCAAGAAGTGTCCATGTTGCGACTTAAGCATGCCAGTTGAACTGTTCTTTTGTCAGCAGTGTGACACTCAGTTGCCAGATGTCGCCACCATGTCCAGCAGCTCGTTTCCAACAGAAGAAAGATTAGCAGCTGCAGAACGGAAACGCTTGGGCCATAAACCCAAGAAACGAAAACAGGAAGTTGAAGACCATCATGACGACTGTGGCGATGATGTATCCATTCTTGAAAAGACTCTGAAGAAGGAATCCTTCTATGAAGGGTACTCATCCGATGATTCAGAAACTGAGCCACCATCTGGTCTGCCCAGCATGTTGTCATGTTGGCATGTGCGTGGTAGTGCTTGTAATGATCCGCCAGAGTATACGCCCAACATGTTCCTTGCATGTGATGTTGAAGAGATGCTTGACATCCTTGCTACCAAGGCCCCGCTGAATTGGCCTTGCGGAGTTGAACTTGTTGAGATTTGTGGAGGCCAAGGGTTGACAAGTCATATCCTTGTGAAACGGCGTCTCAGGAGCGGTCACAACTTTGAGTTGCTAACAGGCACAGACCTTCGCCAACGACGCAACCAGTCGAAAGTGCTCGAGTATCTAAAGTTAAGCAAACCTCTTGTAGTACTAATGGCCCCGATTTGTCGTCCGTTCTCCCCGCTTGGCAGGTTGAACCGTGTGCTGAATCAAGATGCTTGGTTTGAGTCTTTGCGCGACGCAGCACCAATTGCTGAGTTTTGTGGAGAAGTTGCCATGTACCAGATGAGGCAACAACGGCATTTCGCAGTGGAACAGCCCAAAGGTTCCACACTGTTCGACATGACACCATGGCCAGAAGTCCTTGAGGATCCAAGAGTAGTAAGCATAGTTTTCGATCAATGCCAAGTAGGCCTTAAGACACCATACGGTCCAGCAAAGAAATCAACAGAATTGATCGCAAGTTCCGAAGAACTTCTTAAGCCTTTCGTTGGTAAAGTATGTCAAGGCACCCATGTCCATGTGCCACTCACAGGCCAAGCAGCAAGCCGTGCGCAAGTTTGGCCATATGAAATGTGTTCTCGACTAGCTCATGGGATTGAGAGACTAGTAGTGTCAGAGCTCAAAACCATCCGTGAAGATAGCATAGGGCCAGCTTTCCCAGCAGTAGCGGCCGGGACTGACGAAGGACCACCAGCCGAAGCCGAAGAAGATCCTGATCTTAAGTGGCGTAAATGTAAGGGTTGTCTTTGGCGCCTACAGAAACAAGATCCAAGGCATACACGCGTGCCAGGGGAATGCAAACATCCACATGTCAAATCCGTGGTGTATGAATGTGAAGGCTGCAAAGCAGGCCGTCCCAGATCACACGGTTCGCACACCTTTGATGAGAAGTGTCGACATAGCCTGACCAGTTCACGCACCGGTGTTCGTAAAAGACCCTACGCAAGAGTGCCTGCAGAAGAAGAGCCAACAGGTGGTTTAAAAGCTTCAGACTTAGGTCGTGCAGATGAGACAAGAGCTGAAGACACGCCAGACTTTGAACCACCGGCTCCACCGCGTGAACCAGAATCACCAATAGCCGATCCAGCAGCGTCCGGCAGCACGCCCGCAGGTGAGATTGTGCCACATGAAGAGGGCCAAGACCTACAAGTAGCTCGGAGAGGCCGTGGACCTGATGTGGAACAACGCGTCAGGCGAACCTTCAAAGAAGGTGAAGCCCAAACTCCTAACGCCTCTGATTGGTCCACCTTTGATGTGAGCACATCACTACGCGGCTTAAAATTTGCCGATGAAGCAGGACAGCGTCGCATTTTGCGCAAGCTGCACATTCGTTGGTGGCATAGCAGTGCAGGAAGAATGAAAAGTATGCTTCAACGAGTTGGCATTCCGCCAGAAGTATTGTCTCTTGTTGATGGCATTGTTGACACATGCCGCATTTGCCGCCAATGGACACGTCCTATTGCAGATTCTGTTACCAGCAACCGCATCGTAACAGGTTTCAACATAGAGGTTGAAGGTGACTTAATCTTTTATAAGCGCGGACGCAATCAACACATTATCCTTCATCTAGTAGATCGAGGCACACGCTGGGCATCAGCGTGTGAAATCAAAGATAAAAGTACAGCGGCCATCCTTCAAGGCCTCGACCTGTGGTTGTCGACGTTCGGGCCACCACAAGTGCTGATCTTTGACGGAGAAAAAAGGGCTAGATGATGAAGAATCCAATATGTACTTTGAGATCAAAGGCATAACAAAGCGTACAGCTGCCCCCGCGCAACATACAAGAATAGTCGATCGCCGCACACAAGTTCTTCGCGATTGCATGCACAAAATATTCTCTCAATTAGGTGAAGAAGGCATCGCAGCGCCGTTAAGCCGAGTGCTATCAGAAGCTGTTTATGCAACCAACGCATTGACCACAGTGAATGGTCATTCGCCATTCGCCATTTACAGCAGTTCTTGGGCGTGTTCCGCCACTGTTACCAGATGCCGTGATTGTTGCAGATGACACTGAGGGAGCGCCGTCGTCAGCGCACACTCACAGACTTCGTGAAATTGCCCTGCAATCAATCATAGAAGGAACAGCTCAAGACAGAATCAAAAGAGCACTTAAGACGCCCACTCGCATGGCAGGTGAAGAATTGGCACTAGATGTAGGCGACCCAGTAGAGTATTACCGTCCACCAGAACACAAAGATGCATCCGGATGGAGAGGACCCGCAACTGTCATTGACCTTACCCGGATAGAGCATGGACGGATTGGTGTTCGCACTCGTGCCGATCAAATAATTTCATGCCGAGTTCAAGATGTGCGTCGGTGCCTTGCCTATCTAGCACATGAAAGGGCTGAACTAAGGTCCCCAAATGATAGTGCGCAAGACCTTATAAATGATGCAGCGCAACGCATGAAAGAAGGAACTGTGTGCAACATGATGCATGTTCGAAAAGATGACGGAACCATGACTGAATCACCAGGCCTTAAATCACATAAAGAGTTGTACGCAGCCGCAATGCATGTAGCCACAACAGTGTTCCAGCTGCCCGATGTCACAGCAGTTCGGTGTGGTAGGGGCATCAGAAACCTTGCGCACTATCAAGGTTGCGCAGGTTCGTTAGTGGTGTATTGGTTAGATGCAGGAACTAAAGCATTGCAGTTCAGCACTCACGAAAGTGCCAGGATTTCGTTTGTAGATCTTGTAGGCCATCGATGGAAAGATTGCCATTTTGCGCAGTACATCCAAACTGTGTCACAAGAAGATTGGCATCTCAGAAGTCATGAATCGTTGAATGCAACTCAAGCCAGCCAGATAGCCTCAGACGTAGAAGTTGAAATTCGAAGCCAGACTGGTCACACGCCGAGTGCCAGAAGTCGTCTGAGCACCATTCCAGAAGGCAGCCACGAAGATGCCGAAAGTTCGTATATAACCATAAGTCAAGAAAGCCTTGATGAAATGTTCGGTATAACTTCAGCTTGCAAAACAGAAGAAGAACTTGAGGAGGCATTCGTAGCACTCCAAATGCACCAAGATGAAAACACAAATCCACCAATGGTACAACAGCTGCAATCCAATGCTATCAGCCTCCGGGAAGCAGCGAGTCTCGTAGAAGCAGAACTGCCGTCTTGGACACAAGTGTCAGCAAACTCAGAGCCGGTATACATGACCACTGAACGGCTCACTGATAGCATTAAATTCGCTGACCATAATGCAGCATTAGACCCTGATAGCGATGAAGTAGGCCCCTACGTAGCCCTAGAAGCATATGGCCATATGGCTAAGGTGGTAGATGGCCTGCCACGAGAACCACAGCAAGGTGAACATGCTGAGATAAGATTTTATCAAGCTCACACGAGAAAGGCCGTCATCGACCGCAACGATGACTTGCTCACTGACCAAGAGATCCGTGAAAACGCGGAACTGGTGACGCAAGCGATCCTTGATGAACTAAAGACTTGGCAAAGCTTTGGACGCTTTGAAAGACAGCCCAGAGCTGAAGCGACAAACTTGATAGACTCTAAGTGGGTACTCAAGTGGAAGTTCAAGGGCGATCAAAGGATCATTCGTGCACGCCTGTGTCTTAGAGGTTTCAAGGAACATCAGGCCGATGACCAAAATAACTCGTCGCCGACAGCGACCAGGCTGTCGCAACGCTTGATGGTGTCGGAGGCCGCTCTCCGACCACATTGGACTTTAGCGTCTTGCGA